AAAAGGCCTTGGAAGACCCGGGCTCTGCCGTTCAAGGCCTCAAAGACGGGCAGAGAAGAGGAACTTACACGGAGGCAGCCCAGAGCACAATTTCGCTTGAGCAGCATGAACCGCAGTTCTGCAGAGGGAGCGGGGAGTGAGGCTGCGGGAGTGGAAGGAAGGGCTTTCTGGAAGAGGAGCGAGCCCGCCCTCTCTCCCCCTGGAGGGCAGCCCACATGGACTTCTGGGAGGGGCAGGCATTTGGTGAGGGGCTGTCAGATGAGAGACTGGGAAGAGGTGCGGGCAGAAAGCCTGGAGCTCAGAGAGGATCAGGCTGGGAGCGTGCCCAAGAGGCCAGGAGGCGGGCATGTACTGTAGGTCAGGTCAGGCTGGCTGGTTGTGAGGGCAACGCTGAACAGCCTTGGCCTTGCTGCTGGCCGGGGCGGGCCAGTACAGGTGTTGGGAGCCCACGGTAGCTGAGGTGTCTGAAGGACAGCCAGAGCCAGCTCTCAGCCCCAGGGCCCAGCCACCACTCCTCCAGCCTCTGGGCATCCAGAGCTGTAGTCACCATGTATCAGAAAAGTCTGATGACCATGTCCTACTGCTCTGATGGACAAGGCCCAACTCTGCCCTCCCTCCTCACCTGGGAGTCCCCAAGATGCACCGAGCCTGGGGAGATGGGGTCTCTGGCCTCCAATAGAGCTCCAGGCCAGCCACACCCTCGGCCCACCCAGAACTCACTGGCCGCTCCAAAGCACAGAGCTCCAGGTTCTGCCCCAGAGAGCTTACAGTAAAGGTCGTGCGAGTCCTGCCACGTGTCAGCCTGGCTCAGCATGGCAGGGGGTATGAGGACAGGGCAGCTCCAGCCCTGGGCTCATGCGGCCCTATCAGGGGAGGAACTAGGCCAGAGACACTGTCATCTGCTGGGGTGATTACTGAGCTGGTGAGGGGCATGGCCCTCCAGGCATGGTGAAGGCGCCTGAGCTCAGCCTAGGGGCTTCAGGAGAGCTTCCTGAGCAGGTGTCACCATCCCTCCATGGACGAAAGGGGACGCGGACACAAGCCAGGGGGCGAGGGTGGGACAGAGTGTGAAGCTGGGGCTCACAGACCCCTCTTGGCAGTGGCCCCCAGAGTGCTTCCACCCTGAACTAAAGCAACATCTTCTGACCCTAACAGCACCTTGCCCATCAAATCATTTCTCAGCCCCTCTCCCACCACGTGTTGGCAGTTGAACTTCAGCATTGGCTGGGGAAGAACACGGTCGCAGAAAACTTTTTTTTTTTTTTTTTGCTGTACGCGGGACTCTCACTGTTGTGGCCTCTCCCGTTGTGGAGCACAGGCTCCGGACGCGCAGGCCCAGTGGCCATGGCTCACGGGCCCAGCCGCTCCGCGGCATGTGGGATCTTCCCGGACCGGGGCACGAACCCGTGTCCCCTGCATCGGCAGGCGGACTCTCAACCACTGCGCCTCCAGGGAAGCCCAAGGCAGAAAACTTTTAAATGAATGCATTTATTAGTTGTGACACGTCCGCAGGCCCGTGTGCTGGTGGGTTAGCGGCTGGGTCTTGTTTCCTCCGCTGTGTCACCTCCTGAGCCAGCTGTTGAGTGGTCACAGCCTGTCTGCCGCACTGGATTTGGTGGCAGTTCAGTCTAGGTCATTGTGTCCCCCTGAGGGCCTCTCAAAGGCAAAGTGAGGTACCTCAGACGTGGTTCCCTCCCACCAGCGGGAGCTGGAGGACCACTGAGGGCAGAGTGGGTATGAGGAGGGTGGCAGGGGAGGTGAGGGGGGAACATTTGCCTAGCAGGGTTGGTCAGGGAGAGCTTCCAGAGCAAGAGGTGTCCAAAGCCATAAGCCAAGGGAGGGAGCGTGGAAGAAGAGCATTAGTTCCCAAGACCTGGAACAGTGTGGAAAGGCACAGACGTGGGAGGGGCAGGGAGCATGGGATGGGGGAGGGGGGAGGGGTGGAGATCAAGGGCCTTGAGGGCCCCCTGGTAGAAGAGTTTGGGTTTCCTCCTGAGGATGGGGAATGCGGAGGAAGCGGGAGGGGAGCATCAGAGGGAAGGGTCAAGTAGGGGTGCTGTGTAATCGGGTTTGCAGGTGAGATCCCTGTGACTGTGGGCGGGACCTGGGCGGGTGAGGCCTGAGCAGGGCACCTGAAGAGCAGCAGAGTGGGGAGGAGAGGAGGGGCGTGTGGGGCCTCTAGGGAGTGAGGAGACAGGGCCTAGGGACTAGTGCCCTCTCAGGCTGTGAATGCTCAGCCTGGATGGGCGTGGGTGGGTGGGTGATGGCAGCCAGGAAAGCAGACCAGGAGGAGTGCTGGGTAGGGTTGGGGGTCCTGGGCTGGGGAGTCTGTGAGGCTGCCAGTAGATGCTTCTGTGAGTGCACAAACACCAGGTTTGTTGCCCAGGATTGGCCTGGGCTGAGCACTGATGTAGGGTGAATCTGGGGCAGCCCCTGAGAGAGCACGGGGCGGGGGCGAGGGACAGCAGCTTCAGAAGAGGAAGCCTGGTGCCTCTGGGGTCATGGTGCCCATGGACCTCATCTGCCTGGTCCTTGGGGTGGATTTACTGGGTAAAGAGGGTGGGGTGGCTCCAGTGCCCCTGACACCCTGCTCTTCTCCCCAGAAGCCCCTGCAACAGCTGTGGAACACCATCCTGCTGGTGGCCATGCTACTGTGCACAGGCCTCGTGGTCCAAGCTCAGCGGCAGGCATCCCGGCAGAGCCAGCGGGAGCCCCGAGGCCAGGTAGGAGCCAGCCCTCGGGGGCCCTCGGGAGCCCTGGTGTCCCCAGCCCTCGGGAACTGTGTGCCCTTACCCCACAGGTGGACATGCTCAAGCGCCAGGTGGTGCAGAGGCTGGCGTCCCTCAAGACCCGGCGTTGCCGGCTGGGCCGGGCGGCACAGGATCCCCCGGAGCCTGGTGCTGAGACCTGCGCCGTGTGTCTGGACTATTTCTGCAACAAGCAAGTTAGTGCCCTGGGCAGAGGCCAGCCTTCGGCTGACACGTGATGCCCCCTACCCTGCTCCCAAGAGACCTGAGAAGTACCCCATCAGGCCTTCACCCAGCTCCACCAGACCTATGGAAAGCAGCATGGGGGTGGGGCAGGTCACAGGGGTTTCAGTTCCCCAGCTCAGGTGTGGGCGTGGGGCCTGCTACCCCCACTGGAGGCCTGAGCCCTCTCCCCGACCCTGCAGTGGCTCCGGGTGCTGCCTTGTAAGCATGAGTTTCACCGAGACTGTGTGGACCCCTGGCTGATGATCCAGCAGACCTGCCCGCTGTGCAAATTCAACGTCCTGGGTGAGCACCAAGGGTGGGGGCCCTTGACCGTCTCCACCTGGTTCCCACCTGACACCTCCCTCCCTGATATTTTTTCTCCTCTCCTGCAGGGAACCGCTACTCAGATGATTAGCTGCCCCAGCTGGATCTCTGCATGTGGGATCTCTGCATCCCTCCACCTGCATCCTGGCCCTGGGCCCTGGGTGCCTGAAACAAGATGGCAGGGGGAACAGGACAGAAAACCCTATGGGTGGAAGGAGGGATAGGGGCCTCCCCCGCTGAGGGGCAAGGTGCCCACCACATCCACACTGGGATGGAGGGACCACAGCCCCCAGGCTGAGGATGCAGGGCCCAGACCCAGCAGGAAGAGAGGCTGCTTTGGGGCCTTTCTCTGCCATCCTGGGGTGTGCCTGCCTTCCACTCAGACAGCTCCCAGGACTCTGGCCAGGGACCTGGGGAAGAGGGTGTGGGCAGTGCTGCTGTTCCCAGGGCTCTGGGAGCTCTCTGGCCTGCCTGTCAGGGCATCCCTGGGGCCTGAGGCTGCAGTGGCCAGGTTTTGTGCTTATTTATTGGGGGTGGGTTGGGAGAGGAGCTATCTGGCCTTGGGGGCACTCTAACCTGACCATGTTCCATGACACATCTTGAAGGCTATGATGTTAAACCTAGCGGCCCTTCCATTGCCTGCTAACCCTCGGTCCTTGGGTACCGGCAGCTGCAGGTCCCATGGCCTGTCCAGCTGGGCTCCCTTCTGGGCCCTGGCTGGAACCAGAGGCCTTAGAAACCATCTAGTCCTGTGCTTCTCCGTGGGGTTACAGGTTGCTGACCAGGATACTTGAAGCCACAGGATAAATGTGGTACATCTTACAGGGGCATCTGTTTTTTTAGATTTGGGGTACGGGAGATTTAATATTAAACATGGATATATTTTAATGTAAGATGTAAAATTTGTGTGGATGTTTTAAGATAAGTCGCCCTGGAGTCTACTGCCCATGGGAGGCAGATTCTAAAATGGCCCCCAAGATTCCCCCAGCCCTCATGGACACGCCTTATGCGATCCTGGCACTATGACGCTGATGGGTTTTACTCCCATGATTAGGTTGTTATATGGCACAGTTGACCTTAATATGGGAAAGCATCCAAGTGGGCCTGACCTAACCATGTGAGCCCATTAAAAGTAGAGAGTTTTCTCCAGCTGGTGGAAGGAGAGGAATTCAGAAATTTGAACCATGGAGGGGATTCAATGCCTGAGAAATTCTCTGTTGCCGACTTGAAGATGGAGGGGCCATGCGGCAAGAAGCTGGATGGCCTCTGAGAGCCCAGAGTAGCCCCGACAGCGACCAGCAAGGAAATGGACACCAGTTCGACAGCTGCAAGAACCAGAATTCTGCCCACAATCAGAATGAGCCTGGATTCTGCCCCACACCTTGCAAAAGAAAGGCAGATGCTTTTTTAATTTTATTTATTTTTTGCTGCGTTGGGTCTTTGTTGCTGTGCGCGGGCTTTCTGTAATTGCGGTGAGTGGGGGCTACTCTTGGTTGTGGTGCGCGGGCTCCTCACTGCGGTGGCTTCTCATTGTGGAGCACGGGCTCTAGGTGTGCAGGATCAGTAGTTGTGGCTCTTGGGCTCCAGAGCACAGGCTCAGTAGTTGTGGCACACGGGCTTAGTTGCTCTGCGGCATGTGGGATCTTCCCGGACCAGGGCTCGAACCCGTGTCCTCTGCATTGGCAGGCGGATTCTTAACCACTGTGCCACCAGGGAAGCCCCTGGCAGATGCTTTGATTTCAGCCTTGTAAGGCCCTGAGCAGAGAACCCACCCACACAGGGCCGGACGTCTGACCTACAGACCTGTGAGCTACTGAATGGATGCAGAGAGGAGCCGGGCTGTGACAGGTCCGCCCCCTGCCTCAGGGAGCACACCAGAGGGCTGGCTCTCAGCTGGGAGGGGCCCAGTCCAGACAGCCAGCCCAGGCTCCCTCAGCGAGCCCCCGGGCTCCACAGAAGCAAGAGTTGGGCAGCCTGTGGCCATGCCAGTTCAGCTACATACACAGCTCTTCTTGACTTTTCTCTGTAAACTGAGGTGCTCTACTTGTTGGCCTCCTGACCAGGGAAAACTGTCATAGAAAGCCAAGAGCATCCCCCTTCCCACCCCCACACCCAGAACTCCTCAGCAAGGTCTTAGTGCCTGTCCTTCACAGGCGGGGTGGCTCAGGACAGGCTGGAGGCTTCGTGAGGAAAACTGGACTACTGCAGGCCTGGTGTGCCTGGCAGCATCAGTGCCCTGGCCCCAAGGGACAGGCCTGGGAAAGCCAGGGCTGGCTTGGGGTGTCCCGCTCTCTGGCTGGGTGAAGCCTTGCCCTGCCTTCAGTGGCCTCCTGGGGATCCAACCTCCTGGATTTAGAAAAACCCTTTCTGACTTGTGTTTCCTGAAGGTGAGGCGTTCCACAGTGAAAGGGGGGCTGATTTTCTTGGATCCTTAATGTCCCCATGCCCAGGTTCACAGCTGGGTGGTCCCTGCCTGCCTTTGTGAGCCTGAGCCAGAACCCCGGCCTCTGACTCCTTCCTTGCCTCAGGTGTCCTCACTGGGCCCACCGTGGCGGCTGCTCTCCTTCCCCTGCGCACCCCCTACCCTGACCCTGCTCTTTATTGGTGGGGGTCACTGAGTCCATGTTACCCCTTAGTCTTTGCAGTGAGGATCAAAAGACTGCTTTCACATCGCCCAGGTGCTAGAAGCTTCTTTCTGCCCTCAGTGTGTCCTCTTCCTCCACTGCCCCTGTCAGGAGGGAGGCAGGAAGCTCCCATTTACTGAGGGTGCACAGTGTGCCAGACCTCTGCTGGCCAATGACCCACATGGCCGGGGACTCAGGACAGGGAAGGAAGGACTCTTGCCCTGCTGAGCCAGTGTGGTGAGGCCAAGGTTGCTGTGAGCAGATGGCCTGGGCTTTATTACATGGGGTGGGTTGCCAGCTTCCCGCCCTCCAGCCCCACCCCACTGCAGGCTACGTGGGCCGCTCCTGGGGCTGGTATGCAGGGCCGGCCTGGCCCCGGCTTGGTGACAGTCTCCTTCTTAGCCTGGCCAAGGCCCGGATGGGGTTCTGGGCACAGTTGGTCGAGTGGGTCACATCCTCTAGGGAGGACTTGCTGGGTCGACTGCAGGGCTGCTGAGGCGGGGAGGCCTGGGGCTGGCCCGGCAGGGTCCTGCCCGCACTGGCCGTCCTGCTGCCAGGTGAGTGCTGCCTGCCCAGGGGCCTGAGGGAGGATCAGACGGCAAGATCCCCTGTGAGGGAGGGGGACCACCCCACCCCCACATGCCCCGCCTCTGACAAAGCCTCACTCACCCTGGAGATGCTCTCTGGGCCTGGGCTGGGGGTGCTGCTCTGTGGATTCCCTTGCTGGGAGGGGCCCAGAGCTGGTCCTGTGGGATCAGCTGCAAAGAAAACCAAGCTCAGAAAGGCCCAGGATCCCCTCTGCAGCGAACAGAGAGGGTGTCATAGAGAAGGCGGGAGGGCCTGAACCTGTCGCCATGGCCCCTTCCTCTGAGGGGCAGGGTTTGGAAAGCCTTCCAGGGCCTGTCCTTAGCCCTGGTAAGGGTGGGAAGGTTTGCTTTCTCACAAGGCTCCTGGTGCACTTGAAATAAAGGTTCAAAGGGCTAGAGGGGGGATTTGGAGCTAGAAAGCACGGTAACATCCTCATGCCTTCCTGAATCGTGGCAGATGGTTCACAAAAGCACAGCCTAAAGCCACCTGAGAGCCCCATGTGCAATGAGCTGGGCTGACGGCAGAGTCCCTGGGGGAAGCTGAAGACCTCTGCTGGGTTGGGGGCCTCTTCCAAGTCCCCAAGGGCCGGCCCCTTTCAGGTGGGGGAGCCATGCTGCCCACCTTGAGGGCCCCCTGCTGGGCCACCTCCCGGATCTTAGACAGCATGGATCGCAGCCGCCTGTTCTCCTCCTGTAGGACCCGGATACGGATGTCGTTGGCCTGCACCTGCCTCTCCATGTCGTCCGTGACGTTGCCAGAGCCTGTGGAGACCTACTATCTGGCACCCCACCCCATCAGGTCTGCCTCTTGTGCCCAACGAGACAGGACCTCAGAGGGCAGACACGCCAGCCGGTACGTGCCTAGGGTCCCCTGCCGGTGGCCCTGCAGGTGGGCGGGGTTAGCATACTGGACCTCCCACCTCATCTTTTTTCTCCTGAGGCCTTGTTCCCCCCCTCCCCCTGCACTCCCTACTCCCCTGCCTGCTGGGAGGTGACCAAAGCCTTGCAGAATTTGAGAGCTGAGAGGGACCTGGAGCTCACCAAAAATTTAGCACATAGGTAAGAAAGTGAAGCTCTTCCAAGGCCACCTGTTTCCGGAGGGCCTGGGAGACAGTGACTCGTTCAAAGCCACAGCCCGCTCTTGGATATGAGTCTCAGGAATTCAGCAAGGATGTTCTCTCCCACTGCTGGGGGGACAGATGCTCCCCCTGACTCTGAACCCAGGCAAGGTGCTGCCTGCTCTGGTTATCAGTTTCCTGGTTTGTCACAAGCGGCTGCTACCTGCCTCGCGGGGCGGTTGACAGGTTAACACAAGGGCCCAGCACTCACAAGTGATGACTTATCATGACAAGCTAGATTGCAGTGGATCATCCCAACAGCTCTGCACGGGGATTCACCCCAGAGCTTCAGGGGACTGGAGGGGTTGGGACGAGAACCCAGGCCGCCGGGCAGTCAGTCTTCCACTGAGATGGGTCCCTAGCACTCCCACGGACACTGGACAGTTGGGGCTGTGCCCCTGGAGCTGGCCCCATGGTGTAGTTTGGGGAGATGCCAGGACAGGGGACATGGAAGCTGAGCAAGGACTGGCCTGTGACGTGGTAAAGAGCACAGGCTACACAGGTAGCCAGACCTGGGTCTGGATTTGGCTGGGTGACCCTGAGCAGTCAGCTCCCCACTGGGCCTCTGTGTCCCCATCCACACAGAGGAGTGGGTAACACACAGAGCACCTGTGTGTTGTGGGGGCTCTGCCACCCTTGCTGTGGACCCGTGTCCTGCCCTGATGAGCCCTCAGCTGCCCACTCCCAGCCCCGGCGTGCCCTCTGCACCAACCCCGGGCCCCTACTTTGGATCTGGGCTTCCACAGGCCTGTGCAGGTCCGGAAAGGCCACCAGCAGCCTCTCCCGCTCCCTCAACTCCACGAGCTCACGTTCTCGCTCCGAGATGGTCAGCTGCAGATCCGCTGTTGCCTGCTCCAGGCCTTGCTTCTCTCGCTGCAGGCTGTGCAGCAGCTCCTGGGGCAGGGGAGGCTCAGAGCTGAGGACAGCCTCCCAGCCCGCTGGGGACACCCCATCACCTCCACTCCCCAGGCACGGGGCAGGCCCGCAGGTGCTTAGCTGGCTGCAGGTTCCTCCAGAGAAAGGGAAGTACCGCCCCTGCCCCCTCGCCCTGCCTGCTCACACCTGCTGGGCCCGGAGCTGGCACTGCCCCTGCTCCCTCTCGCTCCGCACATGCTGCAGTTGCTTCTCTACGTGGACCCGCTGGGCCTCGGCCTCAGCCAAACTGCCCCTCAGCTCCTCACGCTCCTGGTCCAGGGTGTCCAGCTGCTGTAGCAGGGCTCGCTGTTTGGCCTGCAGGGACTGAGCCAGGATGGGCAGGAGGGAGGCCATGAGGCCCATGGGGCCAGGCCCAGACACGCAGGACAAAGGAGGCAGCTGTATCCAAGCCCACCCCCTTGTGCTACATCTGTCTGTGCACATGTGTGCAGTAAAAGGGGTGGAGGGAAGAAGGGAGCAGACCCCAACCCTGGCAAGGCCAGGACCCCCAAGCTTGGAGATCCCGCCCCCCCCCTGGAAAGCAGACCTCGCCCCCACTTCTCTCCAGTCACAGTCGCCACTCAGGAATTCTTCTCCTTAGGTCTCCAGTGTCTCCCCCCTGTCAGTGGGGAGCACTTTCTCTTCCCTTCGTTGCAGGAGACCAGGTGCTGACCTCACCTCCTGGTGGCGGACCATGCTATCGACACGGGCCTTCTCCTTGTCCAGCTCTGTGCTGGCCCAGCGGATCTGCTGGCTGGCTCCATCCAGCCGCCCTGCCAGCAGCTGCACCTGCTCTTCCAGCTGCTGCACCTGCCTCTCAGCCTCCGCCCTGTGCTCAGCCTCCTCTTGCAGCTCCTGGGCCTTCGTCTCTGCAGGATTGAGCGGGCGGGGGAGGGGGTAGAGTGGGGGAGCCCTGGGGAAGTCCTGCACTGCCTCTGACCCAGGACAAGACCTGGGAAGGGGGGCAGTGGTCACAGCACATCTCTGGGCCTCAGTGTCCTCAGCCACAAAATGGGGCTCTGAACCCTGCCTGAGGTGGGTTCTGAAAACAGAAGGTACTCTCTGGGTGGGAGGTGGCATCACCCAACAGTGTGGCCTGTCAGACCCTGCTTCCTCTGTGGTTCCCTTTAGCTTTGCCCCCGAAGCCCAGGAGACAGAGGGTGCTGGTCCAGCCACCGAGCACATGGCACACGGTACAGGGCTCCATGGCAGGGCTCCTCACCTACGGCCCGCGTGGACTCCCGCTGCTGCTTCAGCTCCCCCTCCAGGGTGGACACCTTTGTCTTGAGGTCACTTGTTTCTATGGCAGCCAAGAGAGAGGCCCTTCAGAGGCTCCCTTGGGCCTGGCTGGCAGCCTCAACGTCCAGTGCACCCCACAGCATGGTGGCAGCCCTAGCCGGGGTGGAGGAGTGCCTGGGCTTATGGGAGGAGTTCTGGGGAGGTGCCAGGAGGCCTGGGTCCCTGTCCACTCTGCTTCCTGTCGGCTGGCTGACTCTCTGGGCTTCAGTGTCCTCCATGGGGGTGACTTGCCCAACTCCCTCAGGCCTCACAACTTCAGCAGGAGCTGGCCCACTGTGAGTGCAATAGCTGCGTCTCTCTGCCTGACGGCTTCTACTGAAGCCAAAGAGGGGCCTCAGCTGGCTGGAGCTACCTGGGGGATGAACTTCCCAGAAGTCCCCTTCGGTGACCGACAGGAGTGAGTGTATGAATACGCCGCTCCCTCACCCCTCTCGTGGGACGACTCGGACTCCTACACAGGCTCCTGCGTTCCCCAGTGGGATTAAGCTCCAGTTGCCCACAGTGTAACCAGCTTGATGAGCACACCCCTTTTCCCCTGCCTTCCCTTCCCTGCGTCTGCTGCCCACCCCCAGTCCAGGTTTCTTCCACACCGACTCCCAGCACCCACAGCCCCGTTGCGGGGTCTGCTCCTGGGGGAGCCCATGCTCAGGCTGTGGCAGAGCCTGGCACTGAGGGTCCGGCCTCAGGCACAGACCTGCGAGCAGCTGCCGCCTGTCGTGCTCCCACTGGGCCAGGCGCTGCTCGGCCTCGTCCGCCTGCCGCCGCTGTGCCCCCTGCTCCTGCTGCAGGGCCTGCTCCAGCTCGCCCACCTGCTTCCTCAGTCTGTCCTTCTGCCCCTTAGCCTCCTCCAGCTGGGCCCTGAGGGGCCCCACAAGCTGAGTGAGGGCTCCCATGTGCTTGCTGAGGCGTGCCAGGTCTTTGCTCTGCTCAGCTGCCCAGTGGCCCATGGTGGTGGCCGGCAGTGGCCTGAGCCCCATGCTGTCCTGCACCAGATGCTGGAACTGGCCTAAGGACGAGGGCAAGTTCTGGCTCTGACACAGGCTGATGACCATCTTGCCCACCTCCTGCAGGCTGCCCTGGACGCTGGTGCATGCATCACAGGGCACCAGGGCTGTCTCCATGGTCTGGGAGTGGACACTCCTGGTGTTTTTGGCCGTCCTGGCTGGACACTGCAGGGAGACGCTGACAGGGAGTCTGTCCAGCTCTTGGCAGGTCTGGGGCAAGCCTGGCATTGGTGAGGTGGGCTTGATGAGCTTGGCAGTCACAAATTCAGGGCTCCTGGCTGGCTCGCCCTTGGCTGTGGGCTTGGAGGTGGGGGTCTCCCCTTGGTTTGCCCTTTTCTGTAGTCAGGAAGAGAAAGGGAAAGCAGGTGAGGGAGATGGGCCTGGGAGGTGACCAGCTCTCTGGGGATTTCTGTGACAGCAGCCACTCCTGATGCTCAGACCTTCAGATGATATCTGATACCAAGGTGAGTGAGAGAGCATGCCTTCTCCTTTCTGCTGCCTCAGCTTACCAAGCCCAGGCTCCATGCTGTTACATGCATGGCACTGGGAGGGTAATACAGTGACAGACACAGCTGCCGGGTACTGGGCCCTTGCTTAGTGGACTTGTCTGCTCTTGTGTTGCTGAAGCCACTGTCAATTTCAGTTTCCTTCCCATTATGGTGACAGTGGTCCTGCCCACCAGGTGGTTGTGAGGGTTATGGAATAACCCATAACAAATGGGGTCGATACAAACACCATTCCCCAACAATGCCCTGGGAGGTAGGGACTGTTATCACCCCCACTGCACAGATGAACAAACTGAGGTTCAGACTAGGTAGGATTTTTCCAAAGCCCCACAGTGTAAACTGCAGAACCAGATGGCCCACACGTGACCCCCAAGGCCTGCATTGCGAACTGCCAGGCTGCATGGGCCTTGAGTGGGGGCTCCAGAGTGGAGCCAGCGACAGATGCGGTGCACATGTGGTGTGCGAGGAGCCTGGAGCAGGTGGACTGATGTGAGGGTGACTGCAGTTGGGGAAGCGGGTGGCTGACCCACCTGGGGGGCCACCTGCTGAATGAGCATGACCAGCCTCAGCAGGCTGTTCCAGAAGCGCCGCACCGTGAGCCCCACGGACATGCAGGGCCTGGCAGCCCTGGCGGGGGGCACCGTCTGCTCCACGCCGAGGTTCTCCAAGTAGCTCGCACAGCTCTGAAGCAGCAGCAGGAGCCTGTGGGCAGAGACGGCAGGGTTGGCTGGGGCCGAGCCCAGCACCAGTGTGCCCTCACACCACACGACCAGCAGCCTCCTGCTCTGGGAACCGGCCCGGGCGTCAGGGACTCGGAGCGTCTCAGAATACACTCTGCCTGACCCAAGAGCCACTTCTTCCAGGAAGCCCTCCCTGAAGGCTAAGCTTGGGGCCCCTTCGGGGCCTCCTGGGTGGCAGCACTTCTGCCTGGCTGCTCCCCACTGGACTAGGAGGCTCTGGGAGGCTGGGCCTTGCCTCGGTTGTGTCCAGAGTCCTCAGAAAGTGCTGGGTAAGTGGCTGCCTTCCACCATGTGGCTCAGAGCCTTCACCTTGCAGAGGACCCAGCTGAGACCCCCAAAGCGGAGGAGGCTGCGCACAGCCTCAGGGTGAGTGTGCAGGACACTGTGCCCTGCGGTTTCCTGATTCTAGTTGGGGGTGGGGGTTCTCCTGTGGGATGAGCTGCTTCTGCCACAACGGAGACTGAAGTGAGAGAGCCAGGTCCCTATCCTACCCTGAGTCAGGGGCTAATTGTAAGGAAAAGGGGTGTTGGGAAGAGAAGTAGGTATTTGCATGGGAATCAGGCTGTTTTAAAAGAAGAGACTGTGTTTACAAAACATATGGGCAGATAAGTGACCTCAACTTGTTGCAGGTGCAAGAGGGTCATCCCAAACCAACTGTGCCCTTGGGCAGAGAGGGCCTGGGGGAGGGTTGCTGACTGCTCCAGGCCGTACCCCTCTCTGGGCCAAGGTGTTCTCCTCTGTGAATGGGGACAATGAACGAGCAGCACTGGAGGGTGGAGAGTGACCTGGACAGACGGGCCAGGCGAGGGGTGGGAAGGCGGGTCAGCTCCAGCTTTCTAGAAGGCGGATGGGTGAACTGGGCCCTGACGGGCTTGGCCAGCACAGGGACGAGTAGGCGGGGCACTCCTAGCAGAGGGCACAGCAAGGAAGGAAGGTGTGTTCTGGGCTCACACATGTTCAGCCCCCTACAGGGTCCAGGTAGTGCTTTCACACCGTCGGCTCCTCCAGGCCTCTGAGTGGTTACCCTGGCTTCTAATTGTCTCCAAGCAGGTCATCCCCAAACTGCTGGGGTCCCTGCCTGTCTGGCCCCCGTGACTTCATTAGCATGCAGGGTTTGGAGCACATGGAGCCTGGGCTGCGGTCCCCAGGGAGTGGAGGCTGACGACCATGCTAATGTGAAAGACAGTGTAGAAGTGGTGGGGCTGCAGGGGAATCCACTGGCCTCCTTCCCAGCAGGGCCAGGATTTGGAAAAGCACATCCTGTGTCTGGCCCTGTGACACATGGAAGGGACAGGAAAAACAGCCTGGGATGGAAAGTCTGAGCAGCAGCTGTAATGTCCTCGACACACAGAAACCCTAAGGAAGCAGCTGGCGGTGGCTGGAGAAGTAGCCGTCAGAGCTGTGGTGTCACAGAGACCAACAGGGTGGCCAGCAACTCCCTGAAGGTGGACTATAAGACACACGGCACAGGGGCTTCCCTGGTGGCGCAGTGGTTGAGAGTCTGCCTGCCAATGTAGGGGACGTGGGATCGTGCCCCGGTCCGGGAAGATCCCACATGCCGTGGAGCGGCTGGGCCCGTGAGCCATGGCCGCTGAGCCTGCGTGTCCGGAGCCTGTGCTCCGCAGTGGGAAAGGCCGCAACAGTGAGAGGCCCGCATACTGCAAAAAAAAAAGACACACAGCACAGCACGACACAGGTGAGATCGCTATGAGGGCCCTGAACCAAGCTGGCCCCCGACAGCATTCAGTCAAAGGTGATTGTTGTCATCAATGTCATCACCCCGCCAGAAGTGGATCCTGTGGCTGCTACTGGTTTATGGGGTGGGTGCCAGCATCCTGAGATGACCAGGTTTGGTCCAGGCTCTCACCTGTCGATGACCAGCTCCAGCAGCACAGCGTGGGACAGCTGCGTGAACTCGGGGTCACCTGGCACGTGGTCGTAGTGCTCTAGCAGGGCCACCATGTCCAGGTCACAGGCCATGCGGTCAGGGAACTTCCAGGAAGGGAAGTGCACGGGCCCGGCACGCGAGAACACGTCCACGATGGTGCCCTGAAGGTCGGTGAGGTCCCTGCGCAGGCTGTCCATGCAGGCCTGGCTGCCCAGCAGGTGTGCCATCCTCGTGGCTCCTGGGGTGGACAGAGAGGATCCCCGTTAGCCAGAGCCACGTGGCTGCTGCTGGAGGAAGCTTCTGAAAACCCCAGAAAACCTGCTGAAATCCAAACTCGACCCTGGGGAGAAGTCGGTTCCCTGGCCCCTTTGGGACCTGCTTGTGGGTGACCTCACCAGCCTCCCTCTCATCCACCCTACCCCACGCCCACACTACTGATTTCCTCGGTCCACAAGTCCCTCTGAGGACCTGTGTGTGCCTGGCCCCTGCTAAGTGCTGGGTGGATACAGCTGTGTATGAGGTTGTACTTGCTGTCCTTCCCTCCCTGAGCAAAGCACTGGACCGGCTACTGACAACAAAAAGTCAGTTGTAGCTACAGTATGACAGGGAGCACTGGACCACCCCTGGCCACTCTCGTCTCCTGCCTGGACTGCAGCAGCAGTTCCAGCTGGGCCACAGGCCTGCCCACTGGAATCTGATCCACTTCTGCTATGGAGACCTCGGCCAAGCCTATCTGACCACATCACACTGGCCAACAACCCCTCAGGCCTCACTTTGGCCCTTGGGAGAAAGGCTACCTCCAGGCACACCCCTCCCCTTGTCCTCTCTCGTCACCTCCCCTCCCCTCCCCTCCCCTCCACATACCATCAGCTACAAGCAGCAGCTCCTGTGCAGGCACTCATTTCTGAATCCATGCCCATCTGTCTCTTCCATCTGAGTCATGCTTCCCCCATCCAATTCCCATCACCTGCCTAACTCCTCTCATCCTTCAGGGTTCCCGGACATCACCTCCTCCAGGAAGCCTTCCCTGACCACCCTCCAGGCTGGCTTAGATACTCCCTCTGGGCTTTCCCCATCTTGGCCCTGATTGCTCTCTGCAGGAACGGCCTCTGCTCTCTAGGACAGGTCCTCACCACACCTCAGTCACTGTGGTATCCCCAGTATAGCAGCCTGGGGCCTGGCCTATTGCAGATGCTCACTGACAAATGAACGACTAGTAATTGAACGGAGAAAAGAAAAAGAATCCACAAAGAAAATTTAAAATACCTTGACTTTGGGAGGAAAACAAGTCCTGAAGTGTAAGAGAGGAACACCTGAAAATTTGTATGGATAGCTATCCTAATCACTCTGGTGACAGGGGGCCCATTATATGTTGATACAGGGGTCCCAGTCCTGCCCCTTTCTGGCTGTGTGGTCATGGGCAAGTCACCGCACCCCTCTGAGCTCCAGCTGTCTCACTTGTAAGATGGGGACACCATCCCCCATCAGGCCAGGTGGTATCTGCAAGTAACGTGCTTGGTCCAGGACTTCCCTGGTGGTGCAGTGGTTAAGAGTCCACCTGCCAATGCAGGGGACACAGGTTGGTTCCCTGGTCTGGGAAGATCCCACATGCTGCGCAGCAACAAAGCCCATGTGCCACAACTACTGACCCTGCACTCTAGAGCCCGTGAGCCACAACTACTGAGCCCTCGTGCCACAACTACTGAAGCCCACGCGCTGCAACAAGAGAAGCCACCGCCATGAGAAGCCCGCACACTGCAACAAAGAGTAGCCCCTGCTCACCACAACTAGAGAAAGCCAGCAGGCAGCAATGAAGACCCAACACAGCAAAAAACAAAAAAAATAAAAAAGTGCTCGGTCCAGGGCAAGGCACCAGTAAAAGTTCTGCAGCCATAGTAACTATTATTACTGTGATTACTATTACTAGCAGTAACAACAGCAAAGACCACCCTTGTCTGGAGCTGCTGTCTACCTTCCATATTTCCTTTTCTCCCCTGCGGCCCGCACAGATTGCTTCCCTTCCATCTTTGCCGTGTGTGGACATCTGAAGACAGTGATTTGGATGAACCATCCCTGGCCCTTGACTCAGAAGGTCTGGCCCCTCCCGTGGCTCTTCGCAGGCCTCTGACAGCAGGTGTCAGAGCCAGCAGCCCTGTGGATGCTGAGCCCTGGTCCCTCCCCACCCTGCAGTGGGGGCCCCTTGTGGTTTTCTCAGCAGCAGAAAGTTCCTTGCACCAAAGCCCCACCCTGCAGCAGGGGCTGCTTGGGCAGGATTTAGGCCCCCAGGAAGTCCAGGCCTGGCAGGGAAACCTCTCTTCCTCCAACCTGTTTCCATCTCCCAACCTTCCTCATTGCAGAAAATGGCACCCTCACTGGAAGCACCTGGGCACTTCCTCGAATCCCTTTCCTTTATCCCCACATCCAGGCACCCAGTGCTGCCAGCTCCACATCCCACCCACTCTGAGAACCCGCCACCTCTGTCCATCAACACTGCTCCACACCCCCCACCTCCCCCAGACCACTGCCCCAGCCTTCCTGAGGGTCGCCCTCTCCCCTCCCCAGCACCCCCTCGCACCTCGGCGTCTCACCCCCGTAGAATATGCTTCCTCCCCATACTCTGTCTAAATAAGATGCCTCCCTCAGATCCCCGGGCTGGTGAGGTCCCCTGTTACACATTCTCAAAGCAGCCTGTGCTTTTCCCTCCCAGTACACACCACAGTGGCATGGAATCATTGAGTCATTATTTGCAGTTGGGAATCTGTCTCCCTGCGAGCACATAGGCTGTTTTTTAGTTCACTGCGGTATGACCTGGCCACCTGGGCTGGGACCTGAGGGCCTGCCTGTGCCCACAGGTGCAGGGAAACCCAGAGGCCCCAGAGTGGTTCCTGAGGGCAAGCCAGCCTCTCTGGCCTCCCAGAGGACTGGGCCCTGTCCTCACCTCTGCACAGGTGCCTGTCCGTGGAGCTGGATGTCTGAGTGCCCCCAGCTCTTGGACTTGCCTGTGGGCTTTCGGGCTCAGGGTCAGAAGCTCAGCCAGGTGCCTGGCTTCCCGTGTCCAGCTCTGCAGTCCCTGGGAGTGGATGTAGGGAGAGTGAGGGAGTGGGCACTCAGGGAGGGCTTCCTGGGAGTGGGGGGCAGGGAGGAGGCTGTCCCAGAAGAAGGGGGTTGTTTCAGGCTGGAGGATGGGGCGAGGGAAAGGGTAGGTGGGGTTGCCAGCCTTGAGCCTGAGCACCGCTGGCTTTGACTACAGGACCTACTGTCGGCCACTTCCCAAATCCACCTCCTTTATTTATTTATTTTTATTTTTTGGCTGCACCACGCGGCACGTGGGATCTTAGTTCCCTGACCAGGGATTGAACTCGCGCCCCCTGCATTGGAAGCGCAGAGTCCTAACCACTAGACCGCCAGGGAAGTCCCCAAGTCCACCTCCTTTAAACAGATGAGGAAACTGAGGCTTTGGGAAGTTAGGGGGCTAGCCTAAGATCACTCAGGGAGCTGGGACTCTTGAGTCCAACATCTTCAGGCCATACTACTTCTAGAGCAGCACTGGACAAAAGAAATATAATGCAAGCCATGTATGGGTTTTAAAATTTTATACTTGCCACATTAAAAAAACTAAAAAGAAAGAGGTAAATTAATTTTAATAACATATTACTTAACAATATACCCAAAATATCTCTTCAATGTTAAATCAATATAAAATATTGTCTATTTTTCTGCATTAAGTCTCAAAATCCAATGTCTATTTGACACTTATAGCACATCCCAATTTGGACCAGTCACCATTTTCATATACAGCACCACATGGGCTGGTGGTTACTATATTGGACAGTGCAGGGGTAGGGGATCAGATCCTGTGTTCATTAAGCAGATGGTGACTGAGTATCTTCTATATGTTGGGCATTGTGTCAGGGACAGAGCAGGGCACACAGAGCACTGTCCCCCAGGAAGCACCATCTATGTCTGAGCGTCTCTGCAGGGGGCAAGTCTTGGTGTGTCAGCTCTACAGTTCCACCCACAGGTGGGGTGATGAGTCCCCACAATACACACACACACACACACACACACACAGGTCCACTTCCCACATACAAATGTTGCCTCAGTGATGGTCTCTCATACGATATTGCCACCCATGAGGTGTTATGTCCCCAAAGAATGAGGCAGAAACAAACAGAAAAACCGACTGAAACATTCTGGGTTTCCTTCCTGGAATGGCAAGAAGGAAATAAATGCAGCAAGCAAAAAAATCCCACCCCGGGAGGAAGGGTTTTCAGGTGGCAAAGCACCTGGAACTCAGGAGCTTGCTTGTGCAGACGTGAAGAAACAGTGACCTGTTCACCCTCAAATAACTACAGCTGCCATCTGGGGCCATCTGGGGCCATATGTTAGGTTCTGGTTCTGATGAGCAGCAGCAAATGCCAAAGCAGTAAGAATATACAAGAGCAAAACACAACATTGAAAAACATCCAAGGTTACCCTACGTCGTTTCTTCTGAACAGTGGGGATTTGCAGATACAAGCCTGTTTTGAGAAACGTGTGTGTGTGTGTGTGTGTGTGTGTGTGTGTCAAGTGAAGGAACACTTGACACAGGCTTTCTCTGTAATTCCTGGGTCCTGAGTAGAACCCTCTCCCTGAAGCTGCCAGCCCCGCACTGTTCCTGAGATCACACAAGTGCTGGCACTAATTGAGCCACCACTACCCTGGTGTGGGAGCAGCAGGTAACTCTGCCTCTCCTCAGGCCCCTCAGCCCAAGGTGGACTTTTAACTCGCAGAGAAGTGAAGGAGCCTTTCCTGCACTACCGTTTAACATTCGAGTCCTTTCCCTCTCTTCTCCCGCTTCTCTCTCGAGACCCCTGGGACCCTACCCCTCAGGTAAAGATTATGCCTCCCTCCTGGCCAGTGCACACATGGAAACACTTTAGAAACTCTAAAACCATCTAAATGGCAGTGTCAGTCTCTGACTCAGGAGTGCTAATTGCCTGGATCCCGGGGACACTGAAGGAATCCAGTGAAGACAAAGGAGTAAGTAACTGCACTAATAGAGAAGAATGGCCTGGGTTTGGATTCTCACTCCACCATGTGAACTGAGGATGTGAACCTCTCTGTCCTCACCTGTAAGTAAGTTGCTATATGAAATAAATGATGTAATGCATGTAGTGTTTGGCACATGGTCTGGCTCATGGTACGTGTTCAATAAATCCTAACTATCATTATAATTCAACATTACTAATAACAATGACATAAACCAGCTATGGTGTGTATGTGAGGAAGAGAGACGGGGAGGAGACTTGGGAGGGCATCTTTTCCTATCCCCCCTCCCCCACCCCCCATTTCACAGGTGAAGAAATTGAAGTCCAGGCCAGAGTTCAGGAGTTGGGAGAGAGAGGAAAGGGAGGAGAGGGTCTCAGGAGGGGAAGCGAAAAGGGCGGGATTCGAGGTGTGCTGCGGGGCGGGAAAGTGGTCCGCAGGGACCAACCTGCGGGCGTGAGGGGTGGAGCCTAAGGAGGAAGCCTTGATTTGAGTTGGTCTACGGGATTTGAGGGCGGGACTATGGAAGCCAGGGGTGGAACTGGAAAAGGCAGGCCCGTGGGAAAAGGGACCCGTGGGAATTAGGGATTGAGATTTGGGAAGGGGGTCTGAAAGAGGTGGGCCTGAAAGCAAAAGAGGGGGCTGGGGGAATAGGGAAGCGGGTCTTTGGCCAAAGTGGGAGGCCAATGGGAGAGAGCGGGGGCCTTGGAAGGCGGGGGTCGGAGAGAGAGAGGAATCTTCTGGTGGAGTAAAGGGTAGGGGGGCCGGGGCCGTGGGGTGCGTGCGAGGGCGTCGGCGGGAGATGTAAAACGTCTCACCAGTCTCCGGCGTCGCAGCCTCAGCCACTGTGTCTGGTCGGCTCATGAAACTGCCCCTAGGTGCGCCTGCCGCTCCTGGGATCCCCGGCAAAACCTATCCCGGCTCCCCGACCGCTGCCACGGCAACGGCGTGTCTCGAGAGGGAGGGGCGGGAATTTACGTCACGGAGAAGGGGCGGCCCCGGAAGTGCGTCAGCCTCGCCCCCCTCGGCGACGACTCGCTCGGCCGCCGCCATCTTGCGAGCTTGTTGTACTGTTGGTGCGGGGAGGCCGCTTTGACGCCACACCGTTCACCTATACAGAGGCGGACTGGCAGCCCTGAGCGTCGCAGTCATGCCGGCCGGACCCGTGCAGGCGGTGCCCCCGCCGCCGCCCGCGGCCACCGAGCCTAAACAGGTACCACGACCCCCGCACCTCGACCTGGGCCCTCCCCTCGGGCGCGGGCCCTCTTTACTCGTGCAGGAAGAAACGGCGGTTTGCGAGGGCTTGGAGGGGCTCCAGGTCCCAGGAGGCAGCGCGCTTCCCGTCTACCTTCTGATAGCGAAACAAGCCTGTTAGAACAGGAGTTCTCAAAGTGTGGTCCGCGGACCGGCTAGCATCACCTGGGAGTTTATTAGAAATTCTGAGTTTCCACCCTAGACCTTTTAAATCAGAATCTGTATTTTAACAAGCTCCCAAGGTGATTCATTAAAATTTGAGAAGCACTGATCCAGCGCATCCACCGGTCTTCTGTGTTAATTGGGCCCACCGGCCCCCAGTCTTTGCCCAGGAGTCCCTAATTTCCCAGCCTGCACGGTGCATCTTTGAACGTTAATTCTCAGCATCTGTGTAGTGCTTACTCTAAGCCAGACACTGTGCCAGGCTCCGACGGAATGAATGAAGCGCAGTTCCTGCTTTATTTAGGGAGCTCACACACTAGTGGGGAGCCAGATATAAGTGAATACTCAATAAATGTTTATTGCCTCAGTTACCATAAATGATACAGTTTCAGCCAGCCCTTCAAAAGATCTCAGTCAGCTAAGGAGGAAAGACGTGGGTCAGTAATTGCAGTGTGATATAAGTATCAAGTACAAAGGAGACAGGAATTCTAATCAACATTGCTTTGGTGGGATATAGGGGAGATTAAGGTAGGTGAAGCCCACCGGCGTGAAAGGTAAATTGCGTTTAGAAGAATGAATCAGTAGTTCACCAGATAGGTGATTGGGAAGGGAAATACCATTCTTTATTCATTTAGCAAACATTTATTGAGCACATCCTGTATGCTGACCACTGCAAATACCTATGTATCCCTGGCATTTTCCCAGTACCTTGGGGAAAAGTAACCAAGGTAATACCAGATAAGTGCCAAGATACCAAGGTGGGAATCAGATGGTGCCTCTTGTCAAGAGTAAAGAAGGTTAAAGCATAGGGTTGGGAAAGTGGTGGTTAAGAGGTGTATTTCTGGGGATTTGAAGTTTTCGTAGCAGGCTATTGGGAGAAAAGGAAGGGATGTAAGCCGGATAGTGACATATTTGTGTTTCAGAAATTCAGGTAAACAGTGATGGGGAGAATTGCTAGGAGGACAGGTTAGTCATGTTATTCAAAAGATGTTGAGAGCCTGGCCTAGATTGTGGCTGGGGCATGGGACAGAGGGGATGGGCAAGCTCAGATCACAAAAGGGCTGTGGTGCAGGCTCTCCCTCCAAAGTGATGCATTGGAATCCTGGTTCTGCCATTGGGCCAGTTAAGGTCTCCATTCCTCAGTTTGTCCATCTGTAAAATGACAAGACAATAATATAATAATAAGAGTACTTAACCTCTTAGAGGTCTGTAAGGGTTATAGATTTAATACGCTTAAAGTGCTTAGGAAAGTATATGGAACCTACTCTGTGCTTGACAAATGTTCTTATCATTGAATGTGTAGGCTGAGGAAGGGAGAAGAGACCCACGTTTTTGCCCGGGATGACTGGAGGCATGGTTGGCCGTTCGTGAGGAAAGCGGTTAGAGATGAAAGTGCCCAGAACTGCTGGATCTAAAGCTTTGTGGCACATAAGAGTGATGTGGGACGTTGACGGGGGTAGAATGGTTCAGCCTATAGGTGCTAGGGGAAGTGGAGGACATTTTGTGAGTGCCTGACTGAGGACAGTGTGTATAGTGTGAAGAGAACCAAGAACAGAATTTTGGGGACCCCTAACACTATAGGGCAGGAGGTGAAACAGGAGCCAGGAGAGAAACTTGGATGGAATGGTGAGCAAGAAGGAAATACAGGTGAGAATGGGACCTGGGAGTTGAGAGTTTTGTGAAGGAGCGGTCACTGGTCACACGGTATACTGATGTAGCTGGCTGTAGGCCGTCATTTTTGACTTTGGCATGAGCAGTTGAAATGAAGGGGGATCAAATGGGAGCTGAGCAAGTGGGAACGGCAAGGCTGAGAGAACTCAGGCTGTTTAGCTACCAGAGGAAGGCGGGGAGAAGGCAGTAGCAGAAAGGAGCATAAGGGTAGAGGAGAAACTTTGTTTCTCCAAAATGAGAGACTTGAGCCTTTGTTTACTAAGGGGAAGAAGCTGGTGAGGAAAGAATATTGGAATTTATGGGGCAGTTAATGTTGAGTATTCCAGTGGAGTTTCACAGAACATTTGAACATTAAGTGATGGTTTAGACTACGGAATGGATGCAGAGGGAAAGGGCATTCAAGGCAGAAGAAGTGGCCAGCAAGGAGTTTCCCATTTCTTTATTCAGCAGACAATTCTTACATATCCCGTATCAGCCACATCCAAGGGTGGGGATACAGGCATGGCCTTCTGGATTCTGGAATGTGGTTTCTCAGAACGTGGTTAGATTTCCCCCCTCCATCTGAATCACATGGACACTTGGTAAAAATGCAGATTCCCAGTGTCACAGAGATGCTCTAGCTGGAGGGGAGCCAGAGAGGCTGCTCTTTTCATTGGTTCCCTGGGAAAGTCCCATGCAAGCACAGAGCAGTTGAGAGAGAGGCTCTTCTGGAGCAGAGGTTCCTGACTCAAGGAAAGTCTCGATGAATTGGGCAGGAGAGTCTGTATTCTCAATAATATCCTAGAGGAGTTTAATGGTGGGCATCTGGCACCAAGCCAGGAACTTTAAGACCTTCCTTTTCCTGTTTTCACAGCCCACAGAAGAGGAAGCATCTTCAAAGGAGGATTCTACCCCTTCCAAGCCAGTGGTGGGTATTATTTACCCTCCTCCAGAGGTCAGGAATATCGTTGACAAGACTGCCAGCTTCGTGGCCAGGTAACATAGCTACTCCTGCTCATGTGGGTCACGGGTAGATTTTAGCATCAAGAGCTCCTGAATTTGCACAGGGGTAACACTTGGGTTTTTAGAGTGGTATTGTTGGCTTAGGCCTGTCAGCTCATCTAAAACCACAGCATGGTGTGAGGTAGGCAGTGGGCAGGACTGGCATCGCTAACATGATATGGTGGTGGCAGAGTACAAGGCACACCCAGCTCCAGAGTCACCAAGAACCTGTGCTTCCAAACCGAGCCTGAGGAAATACTTGGAACGCTGCTTTGTCATGGTTAATGTGTGTCTGTATCTGAGCTTCTGGCCTTAGGAAGACAAAAGGGAGTTGATGATTCTCATTGTGCAAGGACTGCATTTCCTTTGACCCATCTGCAAAATGGAATAAAATAACACCTAGAATTGTTGTGAGGCAGGGGTGAGGGGACTGAGTGCAGTTTGGGTACATCATGTAGCTATTACCTCAGATGGCATGAAAATCCGCTTGATTTCCTCTTGTTCCTCCCCATTACACTTCTTCAGATGGAGTCTTCTTGATGGTCACTTGACTCCAAAGGTCAACCATCCCCTAGTTTAGGGCATTTCAAGTATTCCTTTGGCAGCCAGCAGGCCACATCCAGCCTACAGATCTTTTTGTTCATTCTTAACAATATATAATTTTTTAACTTTTGAATTAGTTGTCATTGTTTAAAAATGAGATTGCACAGTAAATCTGGATTTCTGGCTTCTCTTGATGAATTGGATGGCTCCTTGCGTGGAAGCAGTAGCTGGCCTTGAGCAGACTGCTGCCCTCAGTCAGGGCATATGCTCTCCAGGGAGCCACACCTTGACCCTGAGGCAGCATCCCCATCACGATACATCATTTAACAGATGGGTCCTTCCTTTCTCAACCTCTTTTTAAAATGAAACATAGAAAGAGGTTACTCTGGTTGATGTCTTTCACTGTGTCAGGCTGCATGCGGGTGAACCTTTCACATTTCAACGGCTTTGACCAACCTGGATATTGGGTTAAAACAGCTCTGTGCTTGATTGAACATTATTAGGCCATGTCAGATTTAGGGCAGCAGGTGTTGTGTTTATAAGTTTAATATTTCATAGCAACGCTTATTCTTCCCCTTGTCCCCTGATTTTTTTTCTTTTTAATTAATTTACTTTTGGCTGCATTGGGTCTTCATTGCTGCGTGCAGGCTTTCTCTAGTTGCGGCGAGCAGGGACTACTCTTTGTTGCGGTGCACGGGCTTCTTATTGCGGTGGCTTCTCTTGTAGCAGAGCACGGGCTCTAGGCATGTGGGCTTCAGCAGTTGTGGCACATGGGCTCAGTAGTTGTGGCTCGAGGACTCTAGAGCACAGGCTCAGTATTTGTGGTGCGTGGGCTTAGGTGCTCCGCAATATGTGGGCTCTTCCCAGACTGGGGCTCAAACCTGTGTCCCCTGCATTGGCAGGCGGATTCTTAACCATTGCGCCACCAGGGAAGTCCACCTTCTGATATGTTTTCCTGTTTAAAACAATAAATAGGAAAAGAGTGTAAGAGGAAGAATCACCACAGTCTCGCGACCAGAATAGCTTCTACTAGCTGTTTTCACTTTTTCCTGTTTCCTTCTGGCCCTTGGCATCCTTTTTTAGATTCTTGTAATACTAGTAGAGATACTTTCATATCCTGCTTTTTCCATTTGCACTGTGTTGTAAGCATTTTCCTGTGTTGCTCCACGGTCTCCTGGTGCTGCATGGTCCTCTCTGGAAAGGATGCACCATGTTAAGGTGATGGGCCTTCCTTGACTTGGCTGACTCCTCTGTATTTTCCTTTGAAGTTGTTTCCAACATTTCAGTTTGGCAAATGAAGCTATGGGGAAGTCTCTGAGCATTTTCTTTCCCTTTTAGATTGTTTTCCTAGAAGAAAATTCTGTGTGGCACATTACTGGCTAAAAGAGCATTTTTAAATATTTCTTATTTTGCCCAGTAGCTTTCCAATAATTTTGTGCCAGCCCCAAAAATAAGAATCTCTCCAAGTTCCCTTAATAATAAATCTATATGTCCACGTCTCTAGATCTATTTTTGACTATGATGATTGCCTTATAGGCATTTCTGAAATCTGTGGACTTGCTTTT